TTGAACATTAACTCTATAATCTGTAACATATGTTAGGATATGTTAGTTAGCTTACGTTAGCTTATGTTAGCTTCCCCAGCTAACCTGCTGCATGATGCTAACTGATGTATTCTGACAAACAGGGTTGATGTTAGCCAACAATAAATGATGTAGCGCTACAAAGCCAATGATAGCTTTCTACTAGCCAAGAGTGATGTGAGGCAGGGGCATCCAGCTAGCTAACTGTAGCTAAGCTAACTGGGGCTGTCTGTCTGGCTGTGTCTTGGCTGCGCGGTGTGGGTGTGGTGTTGAAACTTCCTACAGCAGATGTCTATCTGACAGTGCTGTAGCTAAATTTAAGGAGGAGATTCCTTCAGTGTTTAATTCAATGCCATGTCTGAATTTAACAGAGTCCTATAACAACTTTAGTCCCTCTGAAATTGATAATCTTGTTGATAGTGCTACAGGCTCACTACGATCAACATTAGACTCTATCGCTCCTATAAAAAGGAAATTATTAAACATAGGAGACTAGCACCTTGGTATAACCACCAAACCCGCCAGTTAAAACAAATAGCTAGGAAATCTGAAAGGAAATGGCGCTCTTCCAAATTATCAGAATATCGCTCAATTTGGCAAGATAATCTTAAAACTTATAGAAAGGCCCTCCGTAATGCCAGAGGAGCCTATTACTCAGCACTAATAGAAGAAAATAAGAACAACCCTAGGTTCCTCTTCAGCACTGTAGCCAGGCTGACAGAGAGTCACAGCTCTATCGAGCCACATATCCCCATAAACTTAAGTAGCAATGACTTCATGAGCTTCTTCTATAATAAAATTATTACTATTAGAGAAAAAATTAATCACCAACTGCCATCAACAGTTATCAGTGGCTCTCCAAGTTCAGGGACTTCTGTCAATGTAAACTTAGATATATATTTAGACTGTTTTTCTGCTATCGATCTTCATCAGTTAACTTCAATCATTTCTTCATCGAAGCCATCAACCTGTCTATTAGACCCGATCCCAACTAGGCTGCTTAAAGAAGTTGTTCCCTTAATTGGCACTTCTTTACTGGATATGATTAATCTTTCTTTATTGTCAGGATATGTACCACAGTTCTTTAAAGTAGCTGTAATTAAACCCCTTCTTAAAAAGTCCACTCTTGACCCAGGGGTTTTAGCCAACTATAGACAGATGTTCTAACCTCCCCTTCCTCTCTAAGATTCTGGAGAAAGTAGTCGCCAAAGAGTTGTGTGACTTTCTACATAACAATAGTTTATTTGAGGATTTTCAGTCAGGATTTAGAGTTCATCACAGCACAGAGACAGCTCTGGTTAAAGTTAATAATGACCTTCTGACTGCTTCTGACAATGGACTTGTCTCTGTACTTGTATTATTAGATCTTAGTGCTGCATTTGACACCATTGACCATTATATTCTTTTACAGAGACTTGAGCATCAAATTGGCATTAAAGGAACCGCACTAAGCTGGTTTAAGTCATATTTATCAGATTGCTCGCAGTTTGTACATGTTAACGATGAATCTTCAATAAATACTACAGTTAGTCATGGAGTTCCACAAGGTTCTGTACTTGGACCAATACTATTTACTTTATATATGCTCCCTTTAGGCAACATTATTAGGAATCACTCCATTAACTTTCATTGCTATGCAGATGATACGCAGTTATATCTATCAATCAAGCCCGATGAAATTAATCAATTATCTAAATTACAAACATGTCTTAAGGACATAAAATCCTGGATGAGCTGCAATTTTCTGATGTTAAACTCAGAAAAAAACGAAATTCTTGTTTTTGGCCCCAAAAACCTTAGAGACTCACTGTCTAAAGATATAGTTACTCTAGATGGCATTAACTTGGCCTCTAGCACCACTGTCAGGAATCTTGGAGTTATCTTTGATCAGGATTTGTCATTTAACTCCCACATAAAGCAGACCTCTAGGACCGCCTTCTTTCATTTACGTAATATTAGAAAAATTAGACACATACTATCACAGACAGATGCAGAAAAACTAATCCATGCATTTGTTACTTCAAGGCTGGATTACTGCAACTCTTTATTATCAGGTTGCCCCAATAAGTCCATTAAAACGCTCCAATTAATTCAGAACGCTGCAGCACGAGTACTGACAGGAACTAGAAAAAGAGAACACATCTCTCCTGTGCTAGCTTCTCTGCACTGGCTCCCTGTAAAATGTAGAATAGAATTTAAAATCCTCCTCCTCACCTATAAAGCTCTTCATGGTCAGGCCCCTTCATATCTTAAAGAGCTCATAGTACCCTATTACCCCACTAGAACACTACGTTCTCTGAATGCTGGGCTACTTGTGGTTCCTATAGTCTCTAAAAGTAGAACAGGAGCCAGAGCCTTCAGTTACCAAGCTCCTCTCCTGTGGAACCAGCTTCCAGTTGTGGTTCGGGAGGCAGACACCCTCACCACATTCAAGAGTAGGCTTAAGACATTCCTCTTTGATAAAGCTTATAGTTAGGGCTGGATCAGGTGAGTCCTGAACCATCCCTTAGTTATGCTGCTATAGGCCTAGACTATCGGGGGATTCCCCATGGTGCACTGAGCTCCTCTCTTCCTCTCTCTTTCTGCACTCATTCATGTTCCATTAATGCATGTTACTAACTCCACTTCTTCCCCGGAGTTCTTGTGCTTTCTCGTCTTACAGGTTCTTATCGATCCTGGTGGAGCCTCCTGCCATGGTCCTGCTAGATTGCCATTGCCAATACTGTTGTTGCTGTGCACCTGTCTGTCTGTCTCTCTCTCTCTTTCTCACCCCAACTGGTCGAGACAGACGACCACCCACCTAGAGCCGAAGATCTGTCCTAGGTTTCTGCCTTTTAACAGGCAGTTTTTCCTTGCCCTTGTCTCCAAGGTCTTGCTCATGGTGGTACTGTTGGGTCTCTGTAATTAATGTTTTAAAGAGTTCGGTCTAGACCTGCTCTATTTGAAAAGTGTCCTGAGATAACTTCTGTTATGAATTGGCGCTATACAAATAAAATTGAATTGAATTGAATTGAAAAATGTAATTGTGGTGTGGGTCTGGTGTTGCGGTGTGGGTCTGGTGATGCGGTGTGGGTCTGGTGTTGGTTGCTTCAAGGTGTTGGCTGATGGGTGATTAAACAGTGAGCTAGTAGCATGGAGCTAATGGTCCGTTGGTACCAACAGTTTCAGCAGGTGGCACTTTGCTCACCTCATACAGTGGGGGGGCGGGGGCGCTCTGCTATCCAGCTCCTCTGAAACATTCAACATTCAAACCCAGAATCCAGACCAGGATCTGAAGCTGAAGAGAAACAGTTAACAGAGAGACGGCGCGTCGATTCTCTGGATGACTGGAGCCGAACAAGCCCTGAAACACAGCAACAAAAGACCAGAATCCTCCCCTGCAGCCCCCCCAACCCTCCTCACCCCTAAAAGGAGAGGAGCCCATTATGTAACCCACCAACCATCCCAGTCATTAACTGGTTCCCAGTTAAAGGAGTGGACAGGGTTGCAGGGGGGGGGTGTCACATGGTCCACAGAGGCTTGTTTACCACAACAAGGGGCGAACGAGGGAGAAATAGACTGTGAAGAGAGAGAGAGAGAGTTTTCCCACCGACTCATTCACAACTGCTTTCACACGCCACGCTGCCGACCACCGTCACCATGGCAACCACAGGCCCAGTTCATCTTAAACAGTTCGATTTAACCCTGTGAGCTTCATCATAACAGTATTATTACTGTATTATTACCGTAATAATACTGTAATATTACTGTAATAATACTGTAATAATACTGTAATAATACAGTAATAATACTGTAATCATACAGTAATAATACTGTAATAATACTGTAATATTACAGTAATAATACTGTAATAATACTGTAATATTACAGTAATATTACAGTATTATTACTGTATTATTACTGTAATAATACAGTAATAATACTGTAATAATACTGTAATAATACTGTGATATTACTGTAATAATACAGTAATAATACTGTAATAATACTGTGATATTACTGTAATAATACTGTAATAATACTGTGATAATACTGTAATATTACTGTATTATTACTGTAATAATACTGTAATATTACTGTGATAATACTGTGATATTACTGTGATATTACTGTAATAATACTGTAATATTACTGTAATATTACTGTAATAATACTGTAATAATACAGTAATATTACTGTAATATTACTGTAATAATACTGTAATAATACTGTAATAATACTGTATTATTACTGTAATAATACTGTATATTACTGTAATAATACTGTAATATTACTGTAATAATACTGTATTATTACTGTAATAATAGTGTGATATTACTGTGACAATTACCCTCCACTGACAGCACTGGTCACCGAACTGGGTGGTCAGGTATTTATTAGAGTGGGCAGCTGCCACCCCTCCCCTCTATAGATCCGCCCCTGCTAAGAAGGAATAATAGAAGAATAATGTAAATAAAGAAGTGGTGTAGAGAACAGCTACTGAAGCTTAATCAGAAACATTCTTCAGAAACATTGCACATGTACACAGACTGCATATATATCACTATATTCTCCTCTATTGTATATAGTGGAGATATTTGATTCTATTTTATTCTCTTTATTTAGTCTTTGCGTTACATTCCTCTGTGCTGATTATATAATATTATATTATTCAATTATACATGAGCTGCTGAAATAATGATGTTTCTGTCTGACTGACGGATCAGACCCACCAGGCTCCTCATAACGTGTCATTTGAATTTGAGCCGCTTCAGAAACATTAGAGTTAGTATTTACTTTTAAAAGTATTTTAAATTGAATGAATTCATTTAATTCTAGCCGAATTGAAGACAGCTTCATACAGCAGAAGGGAATTAAAGAGTTATCGACTACAGTGCAGAGATTCGGTAATAGTCAAGGAAAAATAAAAAATCCAAAGATTTGTCGATGGAGTTTGGCGCCGAACGTATCGCGACTTTGTCTGTCGTGAAATGTAAACAGTTTACGGCATACCGTATTCCGTTCCGTCCAGTGTGACTACACGTGAAGGCAGGGAGACGCTAGGTTTAAGTTGTGTTTCTAGGACAGCGGGGGCAGACGGAGGCCGGCAGGATGCTGTATCTGATCGGCCTGGGTCTGGGGGACGCGGCGGACATCACGGTAAAGGGTCTGCAGGCGGTGAGGAGCTGCTCCAGGGTCTACCTGGAGGCCTACACCTCCATCCTCACCGTGGGGAAGGAGGCTCTGGTGAGTCAGTCTGAATGTATGGAGGCACTCTGCAGCCAATGGAAAAGATTCTCTGAGTCACTATAATCAATACGTTTATCTGTATGATCAATACGTTTATCTGTATAATCAATAAGTTTATCTGTATGATCAATAAGTTTATCAGTATAATCAATAAGTTTATCAGTATAATCAATAAGTTTATCTGTATAATCAATAAGTTTATCAGTATAATCAATACGTTTATCTGTATGATCAATACGTTTATCTGTATGATCAATAAGTTTATCAGTATGATCAATAAGTTTATCAGTATGATCAATACGTTTATCTGTATGATCAATAAGTTTATCAGTATAATCAATAAGTTTATCTGTATGATCAATAAGTTTATCAGTATGATCAATAAGTTTATCTGTATGATCAATAAGTTTATCAGTATGATCAATAAGTTTATCAGTATGATCAATAAGTTTATCAGTATGATCAATACGTTTATCTGTATGATCAATAAGTTTATCAGTATAATCAATAAGTTTATCTGTATGATCAATAAGTTTATCAGTATGATCAATAATTTTATCTGTATGATCAATAAGTTTATCTGTATGATCAATAAGTTTATCAGTATGATCAATAAGTTTATCTGTATAATCAATAAGTTTATCAGTATAATCAATAAGTTTATCTGTATGATCAATAAGTTTATCAGTATAATCAATAAGTTTATCAGTATGATCAATAAGTTTATCAGTATGATCAATAAGTTTATCAGTATAATCAATAAGTTTATCAGTATGATCAATAAGTTTATCAGTATGATCAATAAGTTTATCAGTATGATCAATAAGTTTATCCGTATGATCAATAAGTTTATCAGTATGATCAATAAGTTTATCAGTATAATCAATAAGTTTATCAGTATAATCAATAAGTTATAAAGTGTGTTGCTCTGTTATGTTGTCGCCTGTAGTTTCTGTTTGAATAAACTTTATTTGTACTGATGTTAACACAATAACAAAATACATAATAGAATTAAATGAATAAGAAAAACCCAACCGATAAATCTGTAAATATAAAGGATTTATTGATTATGTATTATTATAAAATGAATGCCAATAAAGAGATCATTAGATCAAAGACAACATTACACATAAACCTGTGTGGCCCAGCAGCACCGGAGATATCCGTTATTGATATTTTCTCATATTAATATTGATCATGAAATGGTAAATGTGTGAAACATCTCCATAAGATTGTGTAATTATTATTATACCTCATACTATAAAGAACAAACACATTTAACAGAAATATTCAACTGAAGTCATCTTTTCATTTTGTCCGTAATATTTCTTCAGAGAATGATTCTTCTTTAAGTTCCACATAAAGTAAACACACACAGATATAATAATAATAATAATAATAATAATAATAATACATTTTATGTATAAGCGCTTTTCTAAATACTCAAACACTTTACATAAAAACATAAAAGCAGCAAAACAACATCAAATAGTAAAACATTAAAAACACATCAGACTAAGCTAAAAGGTGAGTTTTTGTCAGTGATTTGAAGTTGGAGGGTCGTGCAGTCACGGATGTGTTTGGGGAGAGAGTTCCAGATCATCAGATCATCCGCGGTCACTCGTAGTCGAGTATGACTGTCCGCCTTCTTGGTCCTTGTGGGTCTTCAGATGGGCGTAGAGGCCGATCCTGGACCCGATTATTCTTGTGCAGTGTGGGCAGGTTGAAAGTGGTGGTGGGTTTGGGCTGGGCCTGTTTGGTGGATGCTCTCTCCTTTCTGAGTCTGCGTTTGTGTTCTGCAGCGTGGTGGAGCTCCTCATTATATAGTGCAGCACCCTCATGGACAAAGTTTCTCCATGTCGCCCTGTTTTTTGTCATGTCCTCCCAAGTCTTAAGGTCTGTGTGGAACTTTTTAATGTTTGTTTTGATGTTGTCCTTATACCTCCTTTTTTTGGCCTCCTGGGGCACGTTTTCCTTCAGCAAGCTGCGAGTAGAGGACTTATTTTGGAAGGCGATAGTCAGGCATACGGACAACGTGACCGGTCCATCTGAGCTGGTGTTGAACGATGGTGGCAGTGATGGTGGGGATGCCAGTAGGGGTGGGCGATATGGGCAAAAAATAATATCTCAATATTTTTTGGGATTTTGGCGATAACGATAATCAGTCGATATCCTTTAAAATGTGATTAGAATTGTCTGAGCTGAACTTGTGTCCACCAAACGCGTTTACAGCGCCGAGAGAGCTCATAAACTCATTATCCGAGCGCCCAGCGGGGTCAAAGGTTGAACAGATCTCAACTTGAAGCGCTCTGAGCGCTGCGCTAAAATAAACCGTCTCCGCTGACATCTTTTTACCGCTGAAGGTGCTTAGCGCTCTGAACGCTGAAGCCCATAGGACCCACGTCTCGGCACTAAATCATCTGAAGTACCGGTAGCTTCAGGGACTGGAGGTGTTTGCATTTTCTCTCTACCATCACAACGCGCTGCTAAACTGTTGCAAGGAGGATGCTAGCGAGAGGTCACGTGATCATGTCATGTGATCACGTAGGCCCACTAGTCGTGTGACTGAATCCTGCCATGCTGTAGAGAGCGCTGCTGCACCGTGTATTAATGAATGTGAGGAGTTTCCGCGGGCGTTTCATTGTTTTTGTCGAAGTAATTTAAATACTCGATAATGGAAATTTGCACATCGTCAAAACAACAATGACGATATTATCGCAAACGATATATATCGCCCACCTCTAGATGCCAGCCTCCTCCAGGACGCTGGTGTTGGTGCGTCTATCCTCCGAACTGATCCTGAGGATTTTCCGGAGGCATCTCTGGTGATATGCCTCTAGCACCTTTAAGTGCCTACTGTATGTGGTCCAGGCCTCTGATCCATACAGTAGAGTGGGTAGCATTATGGCTTTGTAGACCAGGATTTTGGCACACTGGCTCAGCTGACGCGGTGGTGTATTTAATTGTCAATGTTGGCTTTTGATGATAGGAGGCTGCCCAGATATTGGACGTGATCCACATTTTCCAGTTTGATTTTGTCAATTGAGATGTTTGGGGGCGGGACAGGAGTACTGTTTGGTGGTGACTGATAGAGGATTTGAGTCTTTTTTATGTTGATGGCTAGCCCAAGCTGTTTTTATGCTTTAGTAAAGGCAACCAGAATGTACTGTAGGTCCTCTTCTGAGAGGGCTACAAGGGCGTTGTCGTCCGCATACTGCAGCTCCATGATGGATATGGTAGTGGTTCGACCTTTAGCCCTGAATCGATTGATGTTAATGAGTTGCCCGTCTGTTCTGCACATAATCTTGACTCCCTGGGGCAGATGTTTACCTGTGAGATGGAGGATAGCAGCAATGAAGATGGAGAACAGTGTTGGAGCAATGACACATCCTTGTTTGACTCCTGTGTCAACCCCGAAGGGTCCTGTTTCATCTCCACTGCCACTGAGGACTGTAGCTGACATGTTGTCATGCAGCAGTCTCAGTACCCGTATGTATTTTTCCGGGCAGCTAATCTTTGCCAGAACCAGCCAGAGGGCCTGACGGTTCACTGAGTCAAAGGCTTTGCTGAGGTCTATGAAGGCCATGTATAGTGGTAGATTTTTTTCCCGGCATTTTTCTTGAAGTTGGCAAGCAATGAATATCATGTCTGTGGTGCCTCTGTTTGGGCGAAAACCACTCTGAGACTCAGGAAGGATGCTTTCTGACAGAGGGGTCAGTCTGTTGGGCTTTCCCTGTGGTGGACAGGAGAGAGATGCCACGGCAGTTGCCGCAGTCTGCCTGTCTCCTTTCTTAAAGATGGAGACAACCAGGGTATCCCTAAGTTGTGCAGGGATTTCTCTTGTTCCAATTTTTAGAAGCAGGGCATGGATGTGTTTAAGGAGATCAGGGCCGCCTTCCTTTAGGACTTCTGCTGGAATGCCGTTCGGACCAGCAGCCTTGTTGTTCTTCATCTTCCTAATAGCATCCTGCACCTCTTCCAGGCTCGGTGGTTCCCTCATGCTCTCATTTATGGGCTGTTTTTCGAGGGCCTCCATCTCAGGAGTAGTGTCCCTGTTCAGAAGATCCTCGTAATGCTCTTTCCACCTGTTTGCTATTGCTTCCTTATCTTTCAGCAGCGTGAGCCCATCTTTGGAGCGAAGTGGGGTTAAGCTTGGGCCATGTACCGCTCTCGTGGCATCAAAGAATCCTCTGGTATCTCCAGAGTCAGCAAGCTGCTGGATCTCCAGAGCCTTCTTTGTCCACCACTGGTTCTTCAGTTTCCTAATGTTCGATTGGACGGCTGCCTTCGCTTTGGCATGAGCTGCTCTTTTAACCTTGCAGTTGATGTTATTTTGCCAGGTGATGAAAGTTTGCCGCTTGATGGCTAGGAGTTGTTGAGTGTCGGTGTCGTTTCCGCACATCACGGCAATTGTTCGTGCGGACAATGAGGTAGTCGATGAGGTGCGTTTAGAGCGAGGATGAATCCAGGATGTTTTAAATGTGTTCTTTTGGTGAAAGAGTGTGTTGGTGATGACCAGGTTGTGTTCTGAGCACTTTGTCAGCAGTAGTGTGTCATTGGAGTTTGTGTTTCCAACCCCTTCTTTGCCCAGCGTGCCTCTCCATAAATGGTGGTTTCGTCCCATTCTGGCATCGAAATCCCCAGGTAGGATTATCTTGTCCTCCTTGGGGACTTTAGCAGTGTGCTAACTACTTTAGCAGCATGTTAACAGTGTGCTAACTGTTGTTTGTCGTCCTCAGGAGGAGTATTATGGGAAGGAGCTTATCCTGGCTGACAGAGACCTTGTTGAACAGGGGGCTGATGAGATCCTGAAGGATGCTGATGTGACCGATGTGGCGTTCCTGGTGGTGGGCGACCCGTTCGGGTGAGTCACGTTGTCCACGTATCAGGACTGGATATTGATCCCACAGCTCTGGTCTGCTGCGTCAGCACGTGAAGAGTTTGAAGTGACCACAGAGCTCCTCTCAGAGCAGAACCACCAGATTCCAGTGGGCGGTAATGACAGAGCGCGAGCAGCCACCACTCTCAGACACTGAAACTCTGTTGACTTTTGTTCATGTGAATGTTGCTTTTACAGTTTACATGAAAAGAGAAGCTGGTTCTTTTTTTGGCCACTAAACACTAAAAATGGTGAATCTTTTTTTCAACCCGCTTTGGTTTAACCTCGTCTGTGACCTCAGCATCTGCACGCCGCTCTGTGATTCAGTCACAGGGTTTCCACAGACTGCTCTTCATCAGCACTCGTCCTACATTCAGCTCAAATGTTTCTATTCTGCATCTTCCTGCAGAGCCACCACCCACAGTGACCTGGTCTTGAGAGCAGTGAGTTCTGGGATACCGTACAGAGTCATCCACAACGCCTCCATTATGAACGCAGTGGGCTGCTGCGGTCTGCAGGTACGTCACACCTGTTCAATGTGCACTGTGTTTATAATCCATCTGTGCTGACTCCTTTGATAAAAACAGTGATTTAAGCTCCGTGAACACAGGAAGTTTCTGGTCTCCAGCTAATGTTGTTTTTGGCGGCCTGTTTTAATTTTAGTTTTAGTCTAGTCTTTGTGTCAAACTGTCATTTTAGTTTTTATTAGTTTTAGTAATGTTTATACTGTGTTTAGTCTTGTCAAGTTTCAGTCGAGCATTTTAGTCTTATTTTAGTCAGAATTATCCATGACTATTTTCGTCTAGTTTTAGTCAATGAAAATTATATTTTAGTCTCTTTTTAGTAATGCAATTCTATTTAACCCAGTTAATATAGTACAAGTACCTAGCATAGTATAGACAAAACCAACATTTTCTTTAAGTCACCCATTTCACAAGTCAAATAAGGTTATCTTATTATTATATTATTGTTACCTTATAGACTCAAGAATACATTCAATTCCAGACACGGAAGACGCTCTGATTTGAATTTACAACATATTTATTTTACATGTCACATGTAAGAAGTACACACACATAAATTTAAATAAAATAAATAAATAAAATAGCTTCAAATGACAATGCCATTACAAAATAATAATAATAGCAAGATGATATAACGTTATAACATTTCGTCTTGTCTCGTTTTGGTCAACGAAAATGAAGAGATATTTTAGCAGAGTTTTTATTTTTCAAACCACATTTAGTCCCGTTTTTATTCGTCAACAATATTGCATAATGTATTTGATTATAGTTTTCGTCACATGGCCACCATTTACATTGCGTCTCATCTCGTAAAGGTTTGTTGACGACGATATTTAGTCATAATTTTCGTTGACGAAAGCAACACTATATCCGGCTGCCTCCATATGCAGCGACTAACGTTAGT